TTTTTTTTGTATAATTTATAAACAAAACATATCACTACTTTTATAGTTAAAAACTGTTGTTGTTATATTAGGTAATTTTGAAGTGTTTATTCATTTACAATTGACACTGTTTCAGAAACGCATTTGATCGACAAAATGACTACAGTTTTCGTCAAAAGTATGCAAAAAAATGGTTCTGTTAAGTTCACTACTTTTACCGCCAGAAACACGGTTATTTTTTTCTGATAATTCTTTGTGAATAATTAGAAGATTTCTCTCTTAACAAAAGAAAACTACTTTTTTTTTGCTTTTCAATATACTCACCTTGGTCCGAAAACTGTAAAAATTTAAAACTGTTTAGGAGCGTTATTTTTTTTGTCAAGAATCACTAAAATAATTGAAAAAAATGTGCCATTAATCTTATAATAACATTTGAAATTTAAAAATTATTATTCAAACGGTATTTAAACATCGAAAATCGAAAAGATCGTAAAATCGAAAAGAAAAAAAGCATTATTGGCAAATTTTTTTTAAGAAAATAAAATATTCGGTTCATTTAACTTAAGCAGTGAGCAATAAACACTGTTTTGAACAACTGAACTGCCAACAATTAAGTATATTCGAGACTTAATAAAGTTGTCAGCTTTGTCAAGTAGCAGCATTTTTTAAAGTTGAAAAATTTTGTTAATTATTGCAGTTTAATTATAACGTTTATACCATCATTTTTTACTCCAATTGTTGCTGTACTGAGCTGTGTTTGTAACTTGAAACGTTAGTGTAATAAGTCTAAAATTTACTGACTGCTACCTTATAAATATGTTTGTTGGAATGTTTTAAAACACTAATGCTTCTGCAGATTCTTATTTTCACTAATAACTGCAGTCGTTTATGCGTTAAAACACCTTTAAACTTGTTTTTGTATTCACAGTTAACAATACCATGAGAAAGTTTATTTTTACTAAGTTACAACACCTTCAATTTGTACTTGCTATCGCAGGCTGACAGTTGTCGTCTACAAGTTAGCTAGCAATTCATCCAACTGAAAATAGATTGTTTATCTGCATTAGTTGTGCAAACAATGTATATACGACTACATAAATAAATAAGTAAATGAATAGCTATACAAATGCATACGTATATAACTATTTATTAAGAAAGTAACACATGAAATTAAGTAAAGTGAATGCTATAAGAAAGTAAAGTGTGCAGTATCTGCATTGAGAAAAATGTCATATTATAATTTACCAACAACATTTAATAAAACTTTAAAACAGTTTACCATTTGAAACTGTGAAATATATTAAAAAATTTTTTTTAAAAATTGACAACAAGCTGCTTAAAACGATTTTAAAATTTGAGAAAAAATAATTTGAAAGAATAATTTGCTATTTAAATTAGATTTTAGGTAATTTGCGAGAGATGATTACAGTAGAAGCGTCTTGATTTGCAATGTTTATTAATACTATTATAAAGCGCTAGTTTCATTAAACAAAAATTTGCATTCTTAATTGAACAGCTTGTTTGTGTAATTCTATAAACATAAAGAATATTTTTCAAATAATCAACTTTATAGTTAAAAAATCGTAAAAAAAAGTAAGCAAATTATTTTTTGGTTCAAGTATTACTATTCGCCGCTTACAAAAGAGTCACTTTACAACATTAATTTATAAGGAGTATTTAGAATATAGTATATAAACTCTAAAACCTTTGAAAAATAACCAAAGCTTAGTAAACTCGTCAGTGACTTTATTAAAGTTTGCGCACCGTAACGTCAAACAGTAGATAACTAAGCGCTTTTATTAAGCCAAAAAAGTATGTAGATTGAAAAGTTCCAAAACTTAAATCAAACACTTTTCTTT